AGCATAATAGTTTATAAGTAGGCATGCATCGATTACACTACCATTATTTATTGGACACATTGACGCAGGAGCAAAAATATTGATGCGAATGATTGTTGAGCCATCGGTAAGAGTCAACATTGTGATCACACCCGGAGTCGGATTGCTTGAAGTAGCGTTAAACAGCGGCACGATAATAATTGTATCACTATCTGTAGAGGATCCAAAACGAATAGCTATTCCAGTAATGAGGCTGATAGTGTTAGTTCTCGATTTAGTTTCATCGGAAAGCTGGTCAGCCAAAGATGAATCAAAGCTTTTTGATGAAACCGCTGATCCTCCAGGCAAGCGAAAATATAAAAACTGTTGACGACCGGCCTCAAATATCAATGATGAATTGTCGATGAAGCTGTTTTGTGCAATTGTAGATTCGTTTAAGGGTAGCAGAGCCGAAGCGTTTGGCGCTGGACTGAGTGAAGATACACGAGATAAATAGGAACCTTGAGGATAATTTGATACGCTATTCAATGAAGATGAAGCCAGATCGCTTGGTGATGGAGTTGTCGCGGGTTGTATAGAAGCAGACGCACTCGACGACGAAATGACAATGCCTAGAAATGTAGAGAAAGACGTCACTTCACTATCAAATTCGATCCTAAATGTGTCGAACTTCCATTTCACAGCTGGAAGTAAAGGGCACACAACTCGAAGAATATCCGACCTGATCAGTTTTTATCGAGTTTAGATTCTTAGTATCACGTGGATGACGTTCTCGTTCGAACAAGATGATGACTGGATAATTCATCACAGGACAGTCTGTCGTACACACCCTCTCCAGCGATAATTCTATATCTGCTTTTCTTTCCGTAGCCTTCTGCTCACAATCAATCAAAAGACCATGATGTCTGAGTCGCTGCAGCTAATTTTAAAAGGATGAGAGGGTGGGGGTGTTAGTGTTGATGGAAGACTGTCAGAAACTCACTCTAGAGAGGACAAATATCTGATCACTGCATACCTGTCGGAGTTATGATTTGCGCTACAGTTATTGGTTTTCGTGTCAAAACGACGGCAAGTACGACAACCAGAACTACGACAAAGACGAATAGACCGATTGATAAGGCAACAATAACCCATTTATTCTCTTTCAACCAGGAGAAGGCAGTCTTGTTTTCCTTGCTTTTCGAATATAAACAAATAGACACATAGATTTGTGAAGAATGTCATCACAGAGAAGTATTTCACTTAGCAAAAGAGTATCTCATCTGCTTTCTACCTGTTTGCATTGTACTTTTTTGCCTGAGCACTATCATTCGTGGCTGAAGGAGGTCGATGTGCGTGTAATGACGGATCCAATGCCAAATTGGTGAATTGACGCTCGTTATCTGCCATGATTGATGTAGTTGGCAGTAGCTCTTAATCTATGGTTTAATGAGTAGTAACACAGTGAAAAGCTGCTCGGCGGCGAAATTGAAACGGGATCTGGAGCAAACAGAATGCATAAGGTGAAAGGCCTAATCAACCAGCGAGGTTGATCGTGCGATGAGGTCGAGTGACTATATAAACCCAGAAAAAAAATGCTCTTCCATTTTTTATGATCGATTGATCCATGGTAGGCCATGACAGTCGCACTGCTGGGGACATGAGAGAGCATTTCGTTTAATCTGAGATTTTTAACTAGTTGCACATGCTGCTAGATATTTTCGAGAATCGGGATAAAGATTCGTCTAAAGAACACTGTGATGTATCTCTACTTAAGGTCCCCGCACTTTCAATCAAGGCGAAAGTCAATCGGTATCCAAAAGGTGTTACTTGTAAACGTTGAACTGACCGGTATCAACGAAGAAACAGACTATTTAGTCAAAACAGAGCGGAGTTATTCGAAAAATATCTTCAGTAGGGCGGATGTCGTTAACAAAATCCGTCTGTGACCTATCCCTTCTATCTTGCTCAAGAACTTACAAGGGAACGTTTCAAGTCCGAAAAATAACCAACACCTGTGTACTCTCGTTTGCATTTCCCATCGAACGAATGAGGTATACACACCCTAGCGACTGGTGGCGATCAAATATATCATAGAAAGTGGTGACAGAGTTGCTATCAAGTGCGATATGGAGCGAAAACCGATGTTTGTCATCCTGAACTGGGAAGTTCAGAGAATTCCAGAAACAGCTTTGAGTGGATATGCACAGAGTCGAACCGTGAATCTCTCCGGTTGAGTCGAGGCCGTCCCACTCATACAACTCATCAAAATGAATAAAGTGAGAGGGAGCCTCTTTTCAGCACTCTCCGGCATTGCACACTCTAAGAAAATATGTTCTCTTACGGAACTCATATCCACTGGAAGATTCTTTGGGGTTTTGTATTGATCTACCGAATCTTCTTTGGTTCAGTGAATCGATGTGAAATTCTAAAGCATCTTCTCGCGGAGCAGGTTCGATGAAAATAATTGAATTTTTTTGCATACATGCACCTTATTCAAGAGGTCACTCGAGAGCACGGATGTTTGTCTTTAATCATTTTTCTTCGAAAAAAGAAAGGAGCGACCACCTTCATCAAGGGTGAGGATGAGAGGGCGAAAGATCTATCTTGGCCCACACCCTCACCCTCGATATTTGTCCTGTCTAAGGCCTAAGGTATACTATTGATGATATGATCAACGAATAATCACACCTATTATGCTGAAAACGCATGCAGACAAGCATAGAACAACTATGACAGGCTTTTTTAGCAGTAGACAAGATTTACCCACGTAAATACAGTCAGCAGAATTCACCAGCTCGGTGTACTGTTGACCATTTTGCGTATGAAAATAATACGGTCACTCGAGTTTTATACGATTTGAAGCTGCAAGAGAGCCTACTGTCTTGATTTCGGCAAATCTTGTCTACCGAGTTTCAATTGGACAGACACTTTCGAAAGGTAACAACGCTTGCTGAATTCAATGACGAAATAATTCGTCGCCGAAGAAAGGAAAAAGTTTTTTTAATTTCGCTTCAGACCTTCCGAGGGTGTGGCAATGCTGAGGGTTTGAGGGTGAGTGCGATTACCAGAATACAATATTATATTTCACTAGTTTTAGATCATAAATTTTCATGTCGTCACGCATACTGTTTCGGTGGATTTAGAAGTTTAATGAAGCGTAGCTTTGGAAAGTGCGATGATGAAAGTGATGGGGGAATCCATGGGATCTCTCTCCCAGAGGCCGGCGGGACGGGACGGGAGACAGATTTTGCAAGCTGGGCGGGACTGTCATCAAGCAATTTTTGTGTGTCCCGTGTATCCCGCGATGAAAAATAATCAGTACTTTAGAGCAAAATGATATCCATCACATGGCAAAGAGAAGCAGTTTGAACGAGAATGAATATTTATCGGCTATGCCGGTGTCATATGATCGAAGCCTATGGTTGATATCCAGTTAGATAATTTTCATGCAGCTATTTTACGTGATCAATCAGCAGTTGCAAAGCTGATCATGGATCAAAGTGAAGAAATATTCATAGATGATTGAATTTCAATGCATGCAATTGTTCGACAAGTAAGAAGTAATTCATCTCAGCCATGCTGTGATTCTATTAATACGATGTTTCAACCGAAAGCAAGCTAATACGCTTACCTGAATGGTTTGAGATCGGGAAATGTGTGTGATGAGAGCAAATGGGACGAACGCAATCACCATCACTCTATGCGTCATGATCAAGAGAGCATTGAAGGCTACCCAGTGCTCTTCTAGAAAGAAAACGTGAAGATGTCTCTTATTCTAGCCTCCTGTGCTGTTCGTCCTCACTCTATCCATGCAATAAAGGCTTCTGTTGAAAGAATTTCCAGTGGAGGGGTTCCGCTAGTGACACCTCAACCTTTAGTCTCACAAGTAGATAATATCTATATTTTCGTTTTGGTTAAAAGGCGTGATAGTAACAGAATAAATTTATTCATCTAGAATGTGTATATGCAGATTAAATGTTCATTTTACCTTTTCTCCAATAAATTAAAACAGTTAGGAAGAAATACTGAGGCAATTATGGAAAATCATACATCGTTCTTATCTTGCAGCGGTTAGACACGATTTTTCTCTCGGTTCCTCTGCTCTCTTCTTATAGCGCGTATTCTTGCGAAAGATTTTTGGAATCTACCGATTCCCTCTCGCTGGGAGTGAATGTCCTGGGAGAATCCTCAATCAGCTAATGCTGATCAGCATATAGACGATAATTATGATGACCAACAGAATGTTCAAGCGAACACAATGATGAATTGTATTCCACCTTGGTCTACAAATGAATTATCGCATGAGCAGCTGCTCAGGTATTACAATGCCACGGCGAATTTTTTCTATAACAATTATTTGCAGCCGCCAATGGCACATCAACAGATGATAGACATCCACTTGTCAGTCGTCCATCCGTTCACGAGCAACAAAGATCAAGCCAACGAATACAGTCGACAATGGCATCGACAAATGTGCCTCTTTCGATTCAGAGAACAACGACGATACATTCCAACATGGATCAATACAAGCCAACGATGATAACAGCTCCTCTCGTCGGAAGCGCTGTTCTTCATCCCACGTCATCAATGACTAATCCAACGAGCCCGTCAACACCAGCGAAATGGAATCGAGACGATGTGAGTAATAACTCAGACTCTATCACTCAACAGAATACTCACTATCAGCAACGAACTCGTCTTTTGAATTCAATTAATACACCGATAAAACGTATTCGTACAAATCCCCAGGAGCAAGATGGTCGGTTTGCCCAACCGCCCCAGAACTACCTTGCTCAACAGAAGCAAGCCCGTACCACCACATATAATGAGATGGATGCTCAGCAAACCTCTTCAGCAGCACGTCGTTTCGCCACCACTCGCTACCCGTTCTCACCTTTTTCTATTATTTTTATGGACGAAGTGCGCGATAAAACGGTGGTGGAAGATTTGATCAAACATGCATTTGAAAAATTAAATTTTGAACTGAAAACGGTCGCCTATCGGCGTGGACGTACTGAAAATAATGAATGTCATATCCTGGTGTTCAGAGAAAATACGGAATCGTTCGCATTCTTACGGAAGGAAAGTAATTGGCCGGTGACACTAGCGGAACGCATGTTCACATTGAAAGTTCCGTCGATACCACCCCAGCTGTCTCTGGTTCTTCCATCAGTCTCTCTCCAAATGGAATGGGAGACTTCGTGGGAGAGATTAAGGAAAGATATCCAGATGTTGTGAATGTAGTTCGTCTTAAAAACAAAGCTAGAAACGATGTTCTTGGAGAAGGTGCAGTCTCGGCCGTGTATATGAAACATAAAGTAGTCGAATACTACGTGCAGGCCAATGTGTTAATATGTTCGAACTGCTATGGCACTGGACACTTCCGGAAAAACTGTCCTCAATCGACAGAAGTGACATCTGAAAACTCATGAATGCTCTGGAGTCGCGGAATGTATTCACTGTGGTGGTCAGCATTTTTCGAACGATCAAAAATGTCAGGTGGTGAAAGATTATCGGGCGGCACTCACACGGAATATGCTGGCAAGTGTAGTGCCAGCGAGTTCTAAGTATAACATTGCTCCGCCTCCGCTCTCGGAATTTCCTCTTCGGGGACAGGCACAACGCCGGCGGCCTTATACCATTATTCCACAAACGGTAGCTGCTAACTTGAACGATACGGTCGCGAAGAAACTGGATGATATTGCAGCCAAGGTCGAAAACAAATCAAAAAGAACCAGAGAAATGCGAATGCGTGATGAGAAATCGACACAGAAAGTAATTGCACTGGAAAACAAGACGGAAATGCTGGGAAAGAATTTCGAGATGTATGTCAAGAGTATGAATCGGGTGCTGGTGAATCTATGCAAAGTCGCTGGGGATCCACAGGTCACCAAGGAGGCGAATTGGCAAACGTACTGGGATGAAAAAATCAAACTGCTGGCAGAACCGGAGACCGATCTCAATACAATACTTCCAAAATGATGAATTCTGATCTCGACAATCCTAATCTTAATGTTGAGGCAACGCGTTTTCTCGACTTGGCTGGAAAAACGCTTGGCAAAAAAGACTTTTCGCTTCTCTCGGAACTAGTGATGGAATGGCACACATCTCCAACATTAATTGAGCTCTTCTCCAAGTGGTCACCCTACAAAAGGACCACAACTCAATCTTCTGTAGTTTTCGGAGCTTATGGAAAACGTCGCATAATTGAGCCAAAATTGCAGCCTTTGGGCTCGGGTTTCTTCTGTTTTCAGGAAAAGTGACTCCTGTATCAGATTCAGCGTCGAAAATTTGTTTGAAGCTTACCGGATAATTTTCTTCCTAAAGTTAGCCGGCGAAAAGTAACAGATTTTGGTTATTTTAAAATAGATTTTGGAATGTTAGATTTTTCAATGGTCCTTTTCATTTGAATGACCTTTGAAATACATGACGAGAAAGAGCGCACTTGAAAGTACTCATAAAGATTTCCACTGTTGTTCCGATCTCTTTCAAATTGTTTGAAATACTATAACGATTGTAAATGAAAATATCTCAGAAAATTGGCCTTTTTCTACGCGTTGGATATGCTTCGTTAAGGTTTTCTCCTTAACTTTTTACAGAAATGTTGTTTATCAAGTTTTGTAGAGAATTTCACGGCGCATCTTTTGGGAAAAAGGTCTAAGGGTTGGAAAGAAAAAAAGTTCTAGCCAAAATACGGATGGAATCAGAAGTTAGTTTACACCCTTTATTACTGCCATTCTGCTAACAGGCTCATTACCTTCCGATTGCGTCAAATCCTTGTCTCACGTGAGACAACTCAAGGATATTGTGTAACTGCTATAGGTTGATAATGTCATAAATGACAACGTTGATATTATATGAGCTTTCTTCTAATGCTTGTATCTTTTGATGTTTTCTATCTTTTCTTCTCTATTCTATCCGTATCATTGTATCCTCTTATTTTCCTCCTTTCCTTTCATATATAAGCTCATGTTTTATGTTATATAGTAGCACTTGGATACAGACCATAGACGAATGAAGATCGTGACTTAGGACACTAGGTTTATGGCTCTCTCTCCATTTGTCCTTATAATAGTGTTACTCAATAAACATCGATACTGAGGTATGAAATAGCGTCGCTCTTCTACTCTACATACACACTCATAGCCTTCTTTTCGTTATAGCCATGTGTTTTAATACAGGTAGATAATTTTTTTCGAAGGTTTCGAAAATTCAACTATAATAATTCAAAACAGTCCCATGGCTGTGAATAAAAGACAAGAACAAAACGAGTTAAAACTGCTTGATTCATCGCTCAATAATGAACAAAGGGAAAATTCCGGCAAAAAACCTCAATGGAAACAACAGTCAACATTATAGTGAGTGTTTCATAATATAACTTATGACGTAGGATATACTTCGACCTTACTTTTCATAGACCGCAACAATGGAGAACTTTTCTTTCAACTCAACGTAAAACCGTTTATACAATTTTATTGTTGTTGTTCGTTGTCAGTGGCATAATGCTTATAATGTTTTCTCTCTACAAGAAGAACACTAATGGTAATGACAACAAAGGTAAATTAGTTCTAATACATCTGAAAGAAGGATAAGATATGAGAAATATGATGAGCTGATTGTATACTCTAGTGAGTTATGAAAGAAAAAGTCTTAGAGATGAACCAGGAATTCGATGAAGTTTAAAATTCCTCTTGGATTTATCTTGTTGAAATAAAATTCATGAAGCGATTGTTACAATGTGAAAAGTATATCCCAGAAATTTGGTAGTAATTTTGAAAAGAATCCTTTTCATATTCAACAAAAGTAAATTCGTTGTAACCTTGACGAATTATTATATCTATTCAGTGCGAAATTTTAGATTCATCGCGTTTACTATAGATAAGAACATGTAATAACACTATCATATATTAATGTTTTGTTTGTCTAAGGGAAAGATGCGTGTGTTTTATTTTACCTTAGTTCAGTTAAGATTTTAATATGAATCAGGTTTTATTCTGACGCATACCGTTGTGGAGATAACTTTGTTATTTTAAATTTTAGGTTATAAATCTGAATTAACCTTAATGGATGGTATGAATCAACAACTCAAAATCAAAGCTGCTTGGATGCGTGGTGGCACTAGCAAAGGCTTGTTTTTTCATGAACATGATTTGCCGATCAATAGCACAGAACGCGAAGCAATTTTCTTAGCTGCTATTGGTTCACCAGATCCTTATGGTAAACAATTAAATGGAGTAGGTGGTGCAACTAGTAGTACTTCTAAAATAGTCATTATTGCACCTTCTCAAGACACAAATTTCGACGTGAATTACACGTTCGGGCATATCGCCATCCAACAGTCAATG